TCCAGGAGATCTGATTCTTTTCTGGCTTCAGTGGGTCACACATATGCATACACATGTACACACAGAGAGAGACATAAATAAAATAGATTTTTAAGTAAATATGGGAGGCAAGGTATTATTTTTCAAGAATTATTGGACTAAGTAGGTTGGCCTCTTCTGAGCCTATAAATACAAAAGTACCATGACCTGAAGAATCATTCTTATCTCCACAATTTCTCTCTTCTATTTAGGTGCTCTTACATTATTTGGAGCAATTGCATTGAATTTGGTGCCTTCCAGCATGCTCATAAGACCCATCCACATGCCAACAGAGAACAATTCTGATATTAAAAACAAAGGTAGCAGTTTGTCTACAACTGAACCAGAGGTATCAGACATGACAGAAACATCATACTGCAATGAGACCTCTTCCATCCAAGGCACTTCTATGAAGAAATCTGGACAACCTACTAAAAATTTAACTGTCTTAGAAAATCAAAGTGAAGAGTTCAGCAATGGGCCTCGCAGGAACAGAGTGATACTTATGAGCAATGACAAAAGTTACCAGAAAAAATTGGTTTCATGGAACTGTAAACAAAATCTTTTAGATATTTCTCTCTTTAAGAATCCTTTCTTCTATATATTTACCTGGTCTTTTCTACTCAGTCAAATAGCATATTTCATTCCTACTTTTCACCTAGTAGCCAGAGCCAAAACACTTGGAATTGACGTAATGGATGCCTCCTACCTTGTGTCTATAGCTGGTAAGAAAATCTATTTCAAGCCTTCTACCTGGATTAAATTTTATTTTAAAACTGAAGGAAGGAGAGAAAGGACAGAAAAAGCAAGAGCAGCTATGAGTGGGCTGGGGAAGGCTAGGGAAAGCAAATTTAGGCTGAGCACACCTTGCATTTCCTCATGCACATCTGTCAACTGCTATCTTGCAGATCTGAGTGGACCTAATGCACTTTATTCATTTTTAGGTGTCTAACACAGAAAATATCAATTACTGCTTGGGCAGAAACTTAAATTTCAGAAAGCTGGTGCTAAGTGTCACAAAACTAGTCTGGAAAGAAGGAAATCTCAGCTAGAAAACACAGTGTAGTAACTGGAAAGATGATTCTGAAGCTGATCTTCCCAGGTCAGGCTCTTGCTCTGAATTTTCTTGCTGTAGCCTTGGGCAAGGTATTCTCTATGCCAAGAATTCCTTTCCTATCTATTGGATAAGCATAACACACTGCTTTCCCGCACAGCTGTATTATGAATGTAATGTGTAATTTGGTATAGTACCAGACCCACAGTTAGCATGTAATACTAGTATTTGATGCTAAGTATATTTCTTCTTGAAATAACTGTGAGATAAATATGACCCTTGAATTAGTTACTAATCCACAGGTTTGTATTTAAAATAAGCTAGAATGTGAATTTTAAAACACAATTAGTTTTATGTAATTACAAAATGTTATTGGCATTGGTGGTGCATGCCTTTAATCCCAGCCCCTGGGAGGCAGAGGCAGGCGGATCTCCGTGAGTTCGAAGCCAGCCTGGTCAACAGAGCGAGTGCCAGGACAGGTTCCAAAGCTATACAGAGAAACCCTGTCTCGAAAAACCAAGGGAAAAAAAAAGACAGGTTCCAAAGCTATACAGAGAAACCCTGTCTCGAAAAACCAAGGGGAAAAAAAAAAAAAAGAAAAAGAAAAAGAAAAAGAAGCAAAATGTTGTAAGATCAAATGCTTCAACTGTAGACTATCTCACTCGACAAAACAAGGACCCTGAAACAAATGAGAAGGGGTAAGATTGACTCTGTTTTGCTCTAACCCAGCAATTCTCAGTAGTTCAACTTAACTTTTCTTCTACAGACTTCTTAGCTACGAAGCCCTTCAGCTTTGCAAGGCATGAGCTACTTCGCCCAACTTCATGCTATTGTTGATGAAACTTCTTTTGGCATTAAACTGCTATGTCCTGTAACAGGATAAACAGTAAGAATGCTGAGTGAAAAAACTGTGGCTCTTAAATTTTAGTCATTATACCATACCTATGTCCCAAGTGACATTTTCAGACTTCTTACATATTTTCAAACTAACTATAATAACCTTTGGAGGCATTAAATTCCAAAGCTTCACAAACAAATATAAGTCCCAATGTCTATGTTTTTTAATGTTAAGATTTCAATTAATTTTTCTCATGTTTTACCATATGACTCCACAGGACACCTCAGTTTCATGTCCTCCCTTGCAGGACCTTTGAAGAGACTGTAAGAACTCTTCAGCCCATGGTCTTTTCAAAAGGGCTTTCACACACAATTAGAAAACACACATGGCAACTTGATATTTTCATTTTCTACTGGAGGCAGCATTTTGCTATTTTATTAGATGTGTTTAGAAAAGTAACATATATCCTGTTTAGGTATGAAATCATTTTTTGTTCATGTATTCTGGCCTCAAGATGGAGTCCTATTACTTGGGAAAAGATGTGCTTATACATTGACATTTTTACAAAAGGGGTTAGGAAACAAATAGATTGCCTTTGTATTTATTGTTCCAGGTATCACTGAGACAGCCAGTCAGCTCATTTCTGGATGGATTGCTGATCAAAACTGGATCAAGAAGTATCAATACCACAAGTTGTACCTCATTCTGTGTGGTATAACTAACCTGCTTGCTCCTTTAGCCACCACATTTCCACTCCTTATGGCCTATACCATCTTTTTTGCCATTTTTGCTGGTGGCTACCTGGCACTAATACTTCCAGTACTGGTGAGTAAACTCATTCATTCATTAATGTTAAACCACTCAATACAGGTATTAGTAACAACTTTCCCAAAAGAGAATTCAAATTTCGTATTTTTATGATTAAAAACATTACATAAGAGACCTCAGAAAATCCTATAACTAGCTATATCCTGTCATTATTTATCTTACCATGTGAGGAAGAGACACTAAGAGGACTAGTGGCACAGTACAGGAAAAGGAGGAACAGTGACAGATCACCAAGATTCCAACTATCTTCTGTTCACTCCTCTCCTTCAGGCTCCAGGGCTTACTAGAACATCAACATGTAGGTCTTCTACCAAATGTGGCTTCTGTGTACTTTAAGGACATTGTTTTGACAAGTTCTCCATTTTTATTGCAAACTGACTTAAGTCCTGAATTCAAATGGAACTGAAACTGTTTTTTAAGTTTTATAGAACAGTGTATGAGACTGGGGCAAAATTCCAGGTTCCTAAAGCTGAAACCAGCTCCTTGTGGTATGAGATTTCTTATAAACCCATGGCTGGTAATCAGTCACAGGTGGACTGAATATTACTGTAAGTGCAGATACTATTTCCTAAAGGAGATGGAAAATCATTAAGGTTTGGGAGGTAAACACACTCCTGAATCACACAAAAGGTTAACCAACCAAATTCAAATACCAATGTCCCCCACTAATAAACTGAAAACACTACCTTGCCTAGCCAAACCATTGTTCCCTAGTTGACTTCTATTCCCCTTCCTAACACTGGAGGCAAAAAGCCATCCAAATCATCCCAGAAGTCAAACCATTCAGATCATGATTAAGAAAAAAAAAAGTTATTTGTCACCCCTTTGTAAACTTAAGACACTGGATAAGTTCATCCTTAAAATGTCTAACACTGAATTCTAATTGCAGGTTGATCTATCTAAGAATTCTAGAGTACACAAGTAAATGGGATGAATTCTAATTGCAGGTTGATCTATCTAAGAATTCTAGAGTACACAAGTTTTTGGGATACGCCAGTTTCTTTGCTGGAATGGCTGTCCTTTCCGGACCACCAATAGCAGGTAACAACTGAGCAAATTTCAACAAACAAAATAGGAATCTAGTATCTATGGCGATAGTATCAGGTTAAAAAGCTGTATTTTATGTTTCCTCTACCCTGATTACCAAAACAAGAAAATCTGAGTTAATTCTGTAGATGTGCTACTTTATTTTACTGGAAATAACCAGCTTAACCTAAATGATATTTTCTGCTTGATGATTTAATTTAAAAAATTGACTACTTGCACAGAAAAAATTATTCCTAAGGAACGGGATTAAATGTTAGATTCCCACAGACCAAAGGTTCAATATATTTAATCTTACTGATTGTTACTGTATTTGTGTTGTCCACAAAAAGGAACTTATCTTAAAATTCACTTTGCTATTTTTAAATGGTTTGTTTTTGAAACAAGGTCTCATTTGTCCAAGCAGGCTTCAAACTCCCCATGTACCCAAAAAACCTAAAGAATTTTCTAATCCTCCTATCCCCATCTGTGATTACAAGTATGAAATCAATTACTTGGGTTATGCAGTGGTGGGGGGTGAAATCAAACTCAGGGAATCCATGCTAGACAGATAATCTGCCAACTGAGCCAACCCTCATTTCCCTACTTCCAGATCATAACTGAAACAGTGATTCTACCCTATTATTAAAAGACAGCCGGAGTTGGTAGCGCATGCCTTTAATCCCAGCACTCTGGAGGCAGAGGCAGACAGAGCTCTGTGAATTCGAGGCCAGCCTGGTCTCCAGAGCGAGTGCCAGGATAGGCTCCAAAGCTACACAGAGAAACCCTGTCTCGAAAAACCAAAAAAAAAAAATAAAAAATAAAAAAAACGGCACTGGTGGCGCACACCTTTAATCCCAGTACTCAGAAGACAGGGGCAGTTGGATCTCTGTGAATGCAAGGCCAGCCTGGAGCCTGGTCTACAGATCGAGTTCCAGGACAAGTACTAAAGTTACAGAGAAACCTTGTCTCGAAAAACCAAAAATAAATAAAATAAAATAAAAAACAAAAAACCACTTATAATGATGTTAAGTTTGCACTTTATTTTTTTATGTTTACTTACTTTTGACCAGGGTCTCAAACTCACTGCCTAGAAGATGCTGGCTTTGTACTCTCAATCCTCCTCCCTCCTGCCCCCATCTCCCAAGTGCAGGAACTACAGGCATGTGCTAACATTCGTGGCATTTACTTATTTATTTATTTATTTTAATGAAAAAGAACAGACTACAACAGAGAAAATTAGAAAATAGAATCGCTTTATTGTGAAACTATAAAATATGTTTATTTTCAATCAGAAAAAATGTTTCTAGCCCTTTCTTACCCAAAGTTTAGAATACTTAGAATTATATATAAGGATAAAGAAAGAGCTCCTGACAGTACTTGTATCCACTAATCCTAAGAACTGGGCAGTCATAAATGTTCTAACAAGTCAAGGGCAGTAATCAGGCTACTGCTAAAAGCTCACATAGATTTTTCATCTCGGAGTTGCTCATCGTATCCCAAGTAAGATTATGATCAGACACTAAGGACATCTCATTTGACTTTAAAGGGACAGATTTCAGGGCAACCCTTGTTTCTCTAAGTCATTCCTCTATGAAATGATAAACAGGACTTCATAAAGACCATTAGATCTCTTCCCAAGTTCTGACTTCAGCAACAAATACCAAAAAATACTACCAATGCTGGTTTTCAGATTAACTCAATTCTTTGTAACGGAGATGTAGCTCAGAGGTAGACCACTTGCCTAACATGTGTGAAGCCCTAGGTTCAATTACTAGTACTTGAAAACCAAAATAAAAACAATACTTGATTATAGGAAAATACACAGATTGTGTTCACCTTTAACTCTAGATGTTTACTGGTAATCTTCAGAGCTTAAGAGATTCTCAGTTTTACTTACCCATATCTATTACCAAATGAAAAGCTGAAATTCCTATAAAAGAGTATAGGCATGTTTAAGTAGGAATCTGGCAAACAGTAAATCCTCAGTCAAAATGTTTGTTTAAAATGATAACCGAGAATACATAAACAATATACTTCTCCTTCCTGTATGGGAATGAAAAAGAAAAAAAAAAGTTAGTTCGATACAACACTTTAATAATTCTAGGAAAGAGAAAAATACAGGAAACCTATGGAAACCATATAACTTTAAAAACATACACAATTAAAAAATCTATTAAAAAGGCACATGGGAAACAAAATCATTTATATTCCTTTATCATTATGAATGACGAGAACTATAACTAACACAATTCCTTAACATAGGACAAAAATTTAAAGCACAAAAAGCTAAAAACCTACCCTCCTCCCTACATATACTCCTCCAAAGAACACTACCTTTGCCTGCTCCAGCTCTATCTTTTTCTAGTAACTAGTAACAAATCCAATTTTATTTAAGAATATGGCCCAAATCACCCTCTTCCCTGGCTGAGGGTGGTTAGCAAACTAAGTGTAAGTTAAATGTCATATCACACCCAAACCTGCTAGTTTTTGCTGGTAGACAGCCTCCAGAATTCCACCTTAGCACCAAGATGGCAGCTCTGAAACATTATGGGGAAATACAAGAATTAATATTTGAAACTTTGTTTTATTTCCAGCAGACCTATACTTAAAAACTTACATGACACGTATCAATGTTCTAGATGACAACTTGGACAGAAAAGTATAATCATATTCTCTACAATTCAGACATAAACCATACCACATAAAATTTCTTTTTGTTTTAAATTTTAATTAGAAAGAAAATTATTTTACATGTCAATCCCAGCACATAAAATTTCTAATCAAGGCATTTGACATGAGCTAAAAATAAAATAAAATAAAAATTTCAAATTAGAAGACCCATATTAGCTACCTACAAAATAGTAAAACTGAAACTGGGCAGTGTGGTGCATGCCTTTAATCCCAGAACTAGGGAGGCAGACAAAGGCAGATCTCTGAGAGTTCAAGGCCAGCCTGTCTACAGAGTGACTTCTAGGGCAGGCTCCAAAGCTACAGAGAAACCGTGTCTCAAAAAACCAAAAAACTGAATATAGTTCTCCCTTCTCCTACTACTTAAATCAAGCACAAATATCTTGAAAACTCTCCTAATGTTTTCAATCAGTTTGACTGTATCTCTATATTCATACAGTAACCACCAAGCAACTTTAGCTTGCTGCAACTTGGCACACAAGAACCTTTACTCTCTCAAGTCCCTCTAAGAAACTTTAAAATATTTTTATTGATTTTTTTCTTCTTAAATAAGATAGGGTCTCACTCTATAGAACTGCAGGCTGCCTAGAACGTTCTTGGTAGTACAGGGTGACCTTGAATTCAAGATTCTCTGGCCTTTCAAGTGCTGAGATTACAGGCATGTATATCACACCCTAATATCCTTTCCCTCTTTTCCTCCCTTCCTGTCCCCCTCAGGTATTTCAACCATGTAAGTCAGAAATAACGGAAACTACTTATCTTTTCTAGCTCTGTGTATTACAGAAAAAGACAATGGATAAAATGTAAAGTTATAGTCAGGCAGTGGTGGCACACACCTTTAATCCCAGCACTCGGGAGGTAGAGACAGGGGGATCTCTGTGAGTTCGAGACCAGCCTGGTCTACAAGAGTGAGTTCCAGGACAGCCTCCAAAGCCACAGAGAAATCCAGTCTCGAAGAAAAACAAACAAACAAAAAAGTAAAGTCATCCATCCAAGGAGGTCTCTGTCCCTCTAACAAATAAGCTATCTCATGAATGACAGGTCATTCCCTATTTCTAGTCTATCATCAGTTCAAATACAATACTGAACAAAATGTCCATCAGATCCTAGCTCCACATTTTACCAAATTAACCTTTAAAGTTTTATCAGTTATTTGGGCTTATTAATGGAGAATTTCTCTGTGACCTAAGAATTTATTAGACGAAAACAAAATAGCTTAATCTTTTGGTCTGTTATAGGTCCACTGTGGAGACTGGGGAAAATTGGAAGACAAGTGATAAAACAGAGCAGAGCTCTCTGTATAAATAAAAAAGAATACACTAACACTGAAGAAAATAAGCAAACTATTCATTATCAGGTGGTTAATATTCCTCAAAACTAAACCCCCACCCAGCTTCACTCTGACTGAGCATTCAAGATAGATGAATATCTATGAAAATAAACTCCAAATAGCTGTATGGGTGGTTTAAGAGGAGGAAATTATCATTCTGCCTTTACAAAGGCTAAGACTGGGTGCCCAAATGCTAATTCTCTAATAAAACAGAGCACAGAGCTAATGCTTAAGTGCTCCTAGTAAATCTTACTGAAATTTCTATTCCTGGGGCCTTTAGTGAGTTCCTATCTTAAAAGGCCCCAAGATTTTAATTTGCTAACAATATTTCCCAAAATGTATTTATATCATGGCACATACAGAGCACACAAATATTTTACAATACAAGGTAAGAGATAAAACTGCAGTACCCAACCAGTAGCCCTGAGAAACAAAAAGATTAGAGTCTAACCACAAATAGTGGCACACACCTTTACAGTACTTGAAATAAAGGCAGAAGCAGACAGATCTTTGTGAGTTTGAGGCCACACTGGTCTATACAGCCTGTCTAGGCTATCCAAGGCTACTGGTGAGACCCATCTCAACAAAAATAAAACCAGTGTGTCCATACACATTGGAAGTTTGCCACTATGCCTCCTACCCAACAGAGGACGTTGTCATTAGACCAGTCTTAGAATTGTTAATCTCAAAGTTGAAGGAACTTTGGGATTAAGGACTTCCTGGGTATATTTCAAGTTTTAACATAATGATAAATGGAAACATAACAGCAAGGCTACTAGATTCCCTTTTCTTTCTTTTTAACATTTATTTACTGTGAGAGTATATGTGTGTGGACACGCACATGCCACAATGTATGGGTGGAGGACAGAGGACAACGTGTGGGAGACAGTTCTCTTACATCTTGAGTCCCAGGGATGGAATTCAGGCTGCCAGGCTTTGCAGCAAGAACCATTTCATTACCTGCTAAGCTATCTCAGCAGCCACCTAATAGGATTCTTTTTTATTTTTTAATGTTTTGTTTTGTTTTGTTTCTGAGAAAGGGTTTCTCTGTGTTAACAGTTCTGGCTGTCCTGGAACTTGCTTTGTAGACCATGCTGGCTTTGAACTTTTAATAGGATTCTTAGCTCAACATCAAATTTTGAAACATATGGTAATAAATACTTCTTAGGACAGTGAACTCCCTTTTCCATGACTCATAAAGGCACATACAAAGTGTGTTGGTTGAGCATCTTTAAACTCAAAATAATATATCTTTGAAGGTAATGACATGATTGTCACAATGGTAAATTTCCTACCATAAGTTTGTTTCACGCACAAAAATAGTAAAAGTATTATATAAAATTATCTTCAGGAGGATGGAGAGATGGCTCAGAAATTAAGGCCAAGGTTCAGTTCCCAGTATCCACAAGGTGGTTCACAAGCATCCATAACTCAGTTCTACTGGATCCCATGTCTTCTTCTGATCTCTAAGGCACCAGGCATACATACATACATACATACATACATACATACATACATACATACACACATACATACCTACCTACCTACATGTATATATGGTACACACACATACATACATGTAGGCAAAATATGTACACATAAAATGAGTAAACTTTAAAAATTAGACTTGGGTCCCATGCCTAAGATACCTTATTATGCATATGTTAAAAAAGTATCCTGAATAAGATCAACCCTCATTAGTCATAATAAACAAGCTTAGATTTAAGTGGCTCCTAGGTAAGTTAAAAATTCAAGCTTGATCGGTATTAAAACATCTACTTAGAGTAATGAACCTTTGTCCACCATTAAAAATTAAAGATTATATATCTGGCTTTGGATCTCAATTAGAATTTTAAAGATACTGGTAATCTCAATTACCAAGTAGAAATAGGTAGACCATTCAAAACAAATTATTTCATCCAACTTGAAATATGCCAAATTATTCTTCTTGGATAAAAATATTAAATATTTTAATCTTTAATGATTCAGACATGATTCTCTTTAAAAGGTGTGTGTGTGTAAATCAAAAAGCTTATAATTTTCTCTTGAACCCATTTTCACCTGTGCCCTTTGACATCTACCAGAAATATCTACATTGCTATCAAGAACCCCTAGTCTTTTCCTATAATGCTAACATTTGATACCCACTCAGAAATTCACAGTGCACATACATGCATGCATAAGAGGAGGTGTTGCTGTTCCATTTTCTCTCCTATCTAGAAAATTCCATAGCTCAGTCAACGATTTCTTAGAAAGTTATAGGTCAGTCACATCCACAGAATACAAAGACTCATCCTAGCTGACCTTACTCTACTCCCTCAACTTACCTCCCCAAAAAGAAACATTTAACTGTCACTAATCATTTTAAGGAACAAACTCCTTAAAGTGAGCTGAATTTAAAAGGCTATAAAACATTCCATTCATGAATACATTAAAAATAGGAAATGTAAAACTATCAAAACAAAGGGTCTGGGAGTGTAGCTCAGCAGTAGAGCACATGCTTAGCATATGTGCACATGCAGCCTTGGGTTCAATCTCAGAACCAAAGAACAACACCCCAAACCCTGAAAGTCAGAGCTAAATAAGAAAATGAAGAAAAGGCAATAAACAATTATACCAAATGAGTTGGGGGAGGATAGAAAAACCAAAAACTTAAGTACAGAGAGTACTCCTACCTCTCTATCAGTTTATCATCTCCAAACCCAGAACCATATAGGCATATAACACTAAGATGTTTCCAGAGTATAGACTTTTCTTTTTTGTTTTTGTTTTTTTGTTTGTTTGTTTGTTTTGAGACAGGGTTTCTCTGTAGTCCTGGCTGTCCTGGAACTCACTCTGTAGAGCAGGCTGACCTCAAACTTACAGAGATCTACCTGATTCCACCATCTGAGTGCTAGGATTAAAGGTGTGTGCCACTGCCACGGCCACCGTTATGGTATAGACTTTTACATGGGCATTTAAACATTGACTTGTTATCACACAGTGAAACAAACATTTTTAAGATGTTTTACTTAAGTTCTAGTATATACCACTGATTACAAGACTGCAAGGCTTCTTCTATTATTTGAAAGGGCATTCAGTTAGGAACGCAGCTCAGTGGCAGAGGGCTTCCTTACCATGCTCCAGGGCCTTCATCCACTGTCTGCACATGTGTGCCCACACACCCACTATTTAGATTTCCTAAGAATTCCTTCATCACATTTACCAAATAGCCCCTTCTCATGTGATCTCATAACCCCCAAGGCTTCCCTTCATAGAATTTACCAAATATATCACTTAAATGGCTAATATCTATTTCCCCGCTAAACTATAAACTCTATGAGGACAGGGACCATGCTTATTTGGCTCAGTACTATCTTGATGTGTAACATATTTTCAGGAACACGATAAATACTCAAATGTTAGCTCAGTAAAGGAAAGAATATTTGGTCTCCTTTTTCTTTGAAGAAAGTTATTCATGATTACTTTCCTTGTAAGAAAAGAGTAGTCTTCTTGAAAGAGTATCATAAAATGAAGTTTTAATTTTCTCCAATCTCCACCCTAAGACATGTTTCTGAGTCCACATTGACTTTTTTAATGATGCAAGTTTCTACTCAGATGAAAATGATTCCATTTCAAGGAAGACAGGTGAGAAGCTGTATTAATTCTAGTGGCTCATAATACAGACTGAGCAGAGGAGGCCCCTGCCTTCAAAGTCTAAGACTTGCTTGAAAACTATGAGAAGAGGTCACTTCACTAACAGAAATCACTCCTTCCTTCCAGGATGGATCTATGATTATACACAGACATACACTGGCTCTTTCTACTTCTCCGGCACCTGCTATCTCCTCTCTTCAGTCTCCCTTTTCTTTGTACCACTGGCTGAAAGATGGAAAAGTAAACAGTCTGAACCTTCGAAGGACTACAATCAAGTAAGAGCTTAACAAAAGAAAATCTAAACAAGCCACTAGAAACAAAAGTTTAGAGAAAAATCTTTGTAAAACTGAGAATGTAAGACATAATTTTTAAGATTCCTTCTTGCTTTACTAGCACTGCCAGGAATGTTCAACCGGTGGGAAAATAGCAACTTAAATTGTTAATCAAACAGGCTAAAAATTGAATCAGTTGAAGCTGCTACCTTACCTATTAAATGAAAGTCAGAATGTACTATAAGTCCAAACTTTCATTTGTGCTATGGTTAGTCTGTCACCAAACTGTGACAACTGTAAACTACTTCTTTAAATATAAATATAGTAATTGACTCACTAGAGCTCTAGAATCTGAATAAAGCCTTACTTAGTGACAAAAATGGTAAATACCCTCCAAAACAAGCTTATTGTTGTTTATTGATTATTTTGTCTCTTAAATTTCTAGTGAACTGCCAACAAAACTGAAACTTAATAAAATAATCTTTATTTGAAGATCATTTGATTACTATTACTGTCCATCTATACAGTATTATCTTTTCACATTTAATTACTTGCAACACAACCTCCCTTAAAATCTTTCAGAATGTTCCAACTATTATTATTCCACCCTTCACTCTTCTCTGCTTTCAAACATCTGCTTCCTTAATAAAGACCCCCCTCAATAAATAAATAAATAAATAAATAAATAAATAAATAAATAAAAGAAAAACCCTAAACTGAAAGCTTTAATTTGGTTGCAAGATGCACACCTTGACACTTTCCAAATAAGCCTTTTTGAGAACTTTGTCATTTGCTATATAATTCCAGCAGCTTCCCTTCTTTGACCGGGTCCACTCCTACTTACCGATTATAATCTGACTCATTCAATACTCAAATGCAACAACTTTCCCAACTTGTGAAATTTCATCTACATTTACAGTGCTGGAGACCGAACCCTTGGCAGCATAGCAAGCACACTACCACTAAGCTACATCTCCAGCTCCCTGTCTGTCTAGCTTTAAAGTAAACACAGATACATGTAGGCAAAACACCCATATACATAAAATAAAAATAAAATAGTCTAAAAAAAAAAAAAAGACCCCTTTCACACAAGCAGCTCTGTCATTTGTTATTATCTCCTAAGTTGCTCAACATCTAAAACCCAACTTTCTCCTTTGTAAAATGAAAATATCACCATTTACCTTCCTCATAGATTATTCTGTGAAGATTAGAGGAAAATATACTTTCTGAGTAGAATATCTTTCATAAACAGTAACTACTTTCCTTTCTTCTGCCTTCTATGTCAAAAGGATAAAACCAATAGGAACCACTCTAAATTTTCCTTTCCATTTTGAAGAAGAATTATTTTCAAAAGACTTCAACAACCTAGATTCTTTCCCGTCTCAGCAAACATTAAGACCAACTAAAGAATTCCAAATTACCTTAACTAAGACAGGCTTTATCAATCTTACACAAGTTCTTCATCCTACTGATAGTAAGGCCCTCAAAACTTAGACAATACGAACTGAGAAAAGCTGAATCTCATACAAGGAAACTGTATATACCTGTACTCTTAGAACCTCCAAAATTGGAGGCAGGGAGCAGGAGGGTCATTAGGTTAAAGGCCAGGCTGTTTTGAGACCCACTTTCAAAGAACAAAGAAAGTACCCACCCACCCCCCCAAAGCAAGTCTAAATAAACCCCCAGACTTAGAAAGCTAAAGAGTTCTTCAACTAATACGTAGATTATATTTTAATACAATTTTACTATTTCTATTCATTTACTGTATTATCATTTTATTTAGTAATATAATGTTACATAACTCCTTTCCAGGAATCTGTAATATAGGAATACCACCCCAAATGCATATGCAGTTTAAGAAAAGCACAACATTCACTGAATATTTCCCCCTTTCCTCAAGAAATCCCTATGAGGCGCACACACACACACAACATTCACTGAATATTTCCCCCTTTCCTCAAGAAATCCCTATGAGGCACAAACACACACACACACACAAAATTACAGGGTGTATGGGTACAGAAGAAAATCAGTATATGTCAACATCTAGTAATATAACTGTCACCACAGTATGTACATAATTTTTTTTTAATTTTCAGACAGGTTCTCATAAAATTGTCTACCTTGGTATGAAATTCTCTATGTAGCCCTCAATTTTGCCTCAGCCTCCTGAATAGCTGGAATTACAGACACACACCACAGTTTTCAGCTAGCTGATATCTTGTATAAAGTATCTAATTTCATATACTTATGTATTTATAGGGTCTTTTGTGACAGGGTCTCTTGTAGCTCAGGCTAGTCTGAAACACTAGTAGCTGAGGATGACCCTGAACTTCTGAACTTCCTACCTCTACCTCCCTGGGGGCTGGGACTACAGGCATGTGCCACTATGCCTAGCCTAATCTTTTTTAGGGAGATGGTCTGGGATGGGGAGAGGACAGGGTTTCTCTGTGCAGCCCTGCCTGTCCTGGACCTGTATAGACCAGGCTGACCTTGAACTCACAGATCCACCTGCTGGGTGGGATTAAAGGCGTGAGATGTTGACCACCCAGCATACTACCTAATCTTAATCTGCACACAACCTTCAGTTGTCTGTAGTGCTTTATCTGTAGTGCTCATTTTCCAAATGAGCATTAAAACATCAAAAAAACAATATTCAGTAAATAGTGAAGTCAGAGTTTACACAATCAACACAAAATCTCCCCATTCTTCTTTTATATTACCTTTACTTCTTGGCAAGTACCAACAAATTATACAAATGAAATTCACTGAAACAGTTATAAATTTGTTTTAGCTCAAAGTTGAACTAAAACTATACTAAAAATAAACCCGCTCCTTAAAATTAAAACCACAACCATTATCAGAGATTACCTGCTACGGTGTAATAACAATGCAACTTCTAGAAGGTAACAAGTGAATAAATGAATAGCTATAATAATTTTTTAGTCTCCCAGTGGCAAATGCCCTTGAACCATTGGTTAAATCCATTTTGCCACAAAAATTCACTCAGGTTGAAACACATTTAGCACCTGTGTTCTTAAAAACAGCAATGAAAAATAACCAAGTTATATGGAATCAGCTTATCAGCTTTTAGAATGTTTAAAGTTATTATTTTATTACTGGGACGGGGACGACAAGCATTGCTTAGAATCACTAAAGGAATAGAGGACAAGTAATTTTTATTTTTAAAAGATGAACCTCTCAGGGCTGGAGGGTTAAGAACACTGGCTGTTCTTCCAGAGGACTGAAGTTCAATTCCTAGCACCCACATGGAAGTTCATAACTATCTCTAACTCCAGTCTCAGGAGATCGGATGCCATCTTTCTGGCTTCCTTAACCACCAGACACACAAACAGCAAAAACAAACAAACCCAAACATGCATTCTAGTACTCTGACACAGGAGGATCTTCCTGAGTTCCAGGCCAGCCTGAGTACACACAATGAGACTCCCACACCTTGATCTACTCCAGCAGAAGCTATTGTACTGTGAAATCTTTCAGTACAAAACAATGAGCAGTGACAACTTAGCAGTAGGGTGTGGTGATACATTGCCCACAACCTCAGCTTTCAGAAGAATGAGGCTGGACTGTCAACAACTTGAGACTAGCCTAGATTTTATAGTAAGATTTTGCTAGAACACAAAACAAAGCCCAAACACTACACTACAAAACCCTAAACTTTAGTGAGGACTTTCTAGGAATGTAGAAAATGAGCTAGGATCAGAGTGACCATTTAGGCTGGTCAGAAGGGGGTTCCCTAGATTTTTAAAGATTTATTTATTTATTCTTTTAGTGGTGAAAAGGTCACTTTATTCTTTTAATGATATGTAATAATATATCCTTTAATATCATTTTTAAAAGCAAGTAGAGCTCAGACTGTCTTTCCACCTGAAAGCTAGCAGATTTTAATGTTATTTAAACACACCAACCTGTAAATTGTAGTTTGTATTATCAAGTAAACTTCATGTCTAAATTCTACAGCTGTCTAGTAAAGCCCTCTGAAGCCACAGCAATAGGATGACTCACCAAATGGCAGGTGTTTTAAAATCTACAAATAGGTCCGAGCCTAGATGAGAACATGTGTATATGCCCCAAGAGAGGAACTCATCCTTTAGCTAAAAGAGAAAAGAGGCTAAGAACTGGTCAGTAGAATAGAACTTGTTTCATAATGGGAGAACCGGACCTCTACAAAGAGACATAATCCATGCATATTTTTACAATGCCCTCAAACATATTCTATATGCTACTTTCCACTTACCAGAAAGGTATAACAGAATAGGACTTAAAAAAAATTCAATATAGTGGACCCCCCCCCATTGAGTAAAAAACTAAACTGACAGGGATTAATTCTGTTGAGTTCACTCCTTTAAGAAATGTGAAGCCAGAGACACTAGAAAAATAAATCCATATTTAAACCCTCAATATGTTTAATGACTTGATGTCAGTTTCCTTTCAAGTAAAAATTAGTAGATCCTATTTGAGAATACTTTAACACTCACTCTTATGTGGAAACTGATACCAGGCCATAGCTGGTAAGATATGGGTTTATAATATGGAATTAAAAGAAACTTACCCTTTCCCTCTGTGCAGCTGACTTCCAACCCAGTTTCTATAAAAACAGGAGGACAATGCCAGTTTCAGAAGTCTGGCAATTAGAACTCATCTTTTAGTTGTTGAGTAATAAAGTCATATCCAAAAGTCAGCTATAGGTTTTTTCAGTAGTTCCTAAAAAGAAACCCAGGAGGAAAAAAAAAAAAAGAGAGACGTTTAACCAATTACCATACTTAAAAGGCTACCTTTAAACTTGGCAATTTAAAAAGTAAAGAGAGGAATTCAATATTGTTTAAAGGTTAATATACATATGCACTTCAGTCATCCCTAAAGGAAAGCAAACAAAAAAGGGTGTCTCAAAACATCAACAAACAACCTACAACAAAATCCCTGATCTACTTAATTCTCCACTAAAAACCAATCTCTGAGGATAAATCAATCTATATCGTAAATGTATCTAGATCAAAAGCAGTTTCTTAAACTTTTGTGTTTGTACATGGTGTCAGGGCTCAAACCCAGTGCCTCCCCCACATGCTAGCATCTGCCCAATTTTAATGTACCCATGACTCCACCCCACCCACCAGGTCTGAGGTGGGACACAACAATTCTACATTTCTAACAATCTTTCAAGTGATATTAATATAATACTATTGTGCTGTGACCAGTTTTGGCAGCAGGGATCCTAGAAGTTAAGCAATATACATATTGTACTAAACCATGATTGTACTGCATCTTTTTGTTTTCCAACAATTCTTAAAAGGTTTGTATTTCTGAGCATGTATAAACTTTGTCTCTAGAGCAATAGCTCTCAGCAATGATAGCACAGTAGAGTCACCTGTATACTTAGAACAAAGGAGAAACAATCCCTGAGGCTTTGCAGAATCACTCTATCTACCCCAATTCCAATCAATCTGAGGAAGAACCTTAGTTTTTGGAATTAAAATTCCCAAAGTTCCTCAAGGGGTTCTTATGTATAATCAGGGTTGAGAACTCTACTACAGAATGCAGAAATATCCTGATTAAGGAGTACAGCTTACTGGTGTGTTTTTACAAACAAAGAATGATAGCATATCCCAGGGCGTGGGAGGTAGAGACACGAAGAGAGATGCTGCAAGTCCCCCTGAGCTACATGGAGAATTTTAGGCCAGCCTGGGCTACAAGGTACTTGCCTAAAAACAAACAAAAAATCCACACTAAACTATACGATACTCATTTTGGAAGACAAGTAAAACTATTAATATTCAATTTCTATATATTAAAATGCAACTATATGAGATACTGGTTTTTCAATGTGCTAAAATATGTAACAAAAACACAAAGCACCTCACCATTAAATTTTGCTTATGATAGTTCTACTATTAACACAGGTACACTAACAAGCTCATCTATAAAAAAAGAAAATTAAGTCCTTTTCCAGTGTAAAAAGGAAATTCACCAGTTACCTGATAAATCATGAAGACTTACACAATTTATAAAATTTAAAAAAAAATCTGTTTTGCAAAGATGACAGCCATTTAATGCAAGGACTCTTTAAGTTTTTTCTTTTTAAAGACAGTCTCATTACGTATTCCTGGATGGCCTGGACTTAGTGTAGATCAGGCTGGCGTCAAACTCAAGAGATCCACCTGCTTCTGCCTCTGGAGTGTAAGGACTAAAAGCCTGAGCCACCATGTTCAACTAGATCCTTTAAATTTTAGAATGAAAATTTGCTACCACTAAAAATTGCAAGTTGTAAGTACAGAAAGCATACTTCAGAAACAATGAAAATTGCCATGATGTTTTAATAAAACAGAAAGACTATCAAGCAACGAATGATGATGAACTAGGAGGATGACCATTCTGAACACACAGGGTGGTCTAACAGTTAAAAGTCATAAGAAATAAAACCTGAAAAAAAAAAAAAGTAAAACCTGTATGACTATAAAGAAAACTAAGTGAAACTTCAATGGTATAGACATACTTAAGCATGCAAAAAGCCTTGGTCTGATCGCCACAAAATAAAATTTAAAACATACTAAAGAGGACCATTAAGATTGGTTCAGTGGGTAAAGGCATTTGCTATGAAAGTCTGGTAACCAGAGTTCAGTCAAAAGATTCCATAAAAAGTTAGACAAAGAAAAGCAACTCCACAAAGTTGTCCTCTCACCTTCACACATATGCCTACACACATACCATGTACATCCATTTATATGTGATGGATGTTCTGTTTTTATGTCTGGGCACCATGTGCATGCCTTGCGCCCAAGGTCAGAGGAGGTCATCAGATCCCCAGGAATGGGAGTTACAGATAGCTGTGAGCTGCCATGTGAGGGCTGGGAATGGAAGCTTTGTCCTCTGGAAGAACAACCAGTACCCTTACCATTGAGCTTTCTCTTCAGTCCCAATTTTAAAAACAAAATCAAACTAACAAAACAAACAAACAAAAAAACCACAGTAAACAAATCCCAAAAGAATATAATCATAATCTTTATAGGGAATCTGAAATGCTAATTTCCCTGGACCCATTAATGCATGTGTGTGTACACACAAACAGAAATGCTTTCAATCTTCAGACTTCAATCATACTATTTTGATATTAATATCGGATAACTCAAGATACCTCAATAAAGTTCTTGTTATGTTTCACTTAGTGAAGACATACAACTTTTCTGACATCACTTTAGAATTTCTTCCCCACCACCTCTGTGTGCATGTGTTGGGTTTAATGTCTGGGGATCAAACCAAGGGCCTTATGTCCTCTATGGCAAGTGCTCAGTCACTGAGCTACATACATCCCCAATCCTTGTTGATGAGGCAAAACTCAGATACTAAGCAAGAATAAGTACCTTGAAGAAATAAAAGATTATAAAACTGCTACTTAATGACAATATTTTGTTATTTCATTTTGCAAGAGGGGACTGCCATACAATATTGCAGACTGGCCTTCAACTCTATCCTGCCTCCTAAGTGCTGAGGTTAGAGGCATGTATCACAGCATCCAGTTTTGTTCGGTTTACTCAAACAATTTTAAGCTTATCTTCTAGAAGCTCCTCTTCTCAGCTCTGAAACAGAACATTTTTTGATCTCCTACCTATACTTCTTTTCAAGTACCATCTTCTTTTCTCATTTTTCAAACACATGACTCTTGGTTTTATAGCTCAGCACTCTATGCTCTCAGTACAGTGTTATTCAACACAGAGCCCACCGACCCTCAAACGTAACAGAATGAAGGAGCAAAGAGCCTGTTTCGAAGATATTGCAAATGTTAGTACAGTATCATTTGCAATTAACTGCCAACACATTTTCTCAAGTTTAATACTATCCTTGGCCTCTTGGAGTGAGGGTAGTAGTGAGGCAAAATTAATGATCTTGAGAGCCCTAAAGGCATGGTTAGAATCCTGGGTCCACAGTTTCAGATTAGAATGTAGAAAACGTAAATAAGGCAATGTGTGTACAGCACTCTCCAGAATGCTTGGTGTTAAGTATTTATATTTAGTAAGTGGTTGCCATCAATAAGATGCAACTGATTATCCGTCTCCACTCCCACTTCCTCAAATTTGTTTGCTATTCGGAATTTCCTATTTCTGTTGACCCAATCATCATACTATTTTTTCCAGGATTTAGTCTGTTTTATCTTTTCCATTCACCAAATTACCATATTCTTATTCATGTGTCTGCCTAACCTGTCCATCACAAATTCCCTCTACCACTTCACATTCTCTTTCAATATTTCTGTTAAACCTTTCTTAACCATTCCAACTTCAGAAACCTATTCATTTTGTTATATACAATTATCACCCACAAAAAATAAAATCCTTGGCAACTCATCTGTTAAATCTTTCCAACTATCTTAAACTCTACTAAACTTTTCCCTGGTGGTTGAACATCTATCTCTTTATACCTAGGTTCCTTATTCAGTGAATAAACTGTTACAGTGGTAGAAACTACCTGATACTTTCTTCATTTCCAACTCTCAGACTCTTGGTTCCTAATATACAGTCAATACTCAAACTATTAAAAACCTCAGCGGGAAGATGAATATTACATTCACTTGAGCTGAATCATAGTTGAAACTCAGAACACCCCCCCTTTTTTTTCTGCCAAGACTGAGCTTGTCTGAAGTTTGAAGATAATTTGCCATTCAATAAATCCCTGTTAAGAATTTAAAACTAGGGGAGCTGTTAAGAGCAATTAAGAGCGCTGACCTCCTCCAGAGGACCAGGTTTCAATTCCCAGCACCCACATGGCAGCTCACAGTCTACAACTTCAGTTCATACCCAACACACTTACACAGACATACATGCAGGCAAAAAGATCAATGCACATAAAACAGAATTTAAAAAATTTAATCTAGACCCAAGTTATTAATAAGATGTTCTGAAGCCAGATGTGGTGTCACATGCCTGTAATCTTAGCACTTAGAGAAGCAGAGGTTGAAGGATCTTGAGTTTGAGACCAGTCTGGGCTTCA